TCCATACGCAACGAAAGTCACGGGGAGAGCATGGGGTTCTGTTATTATTAAATATGTTCCATATTTGATTATTCCATATTACATGTAAAGAAAGAACGTGCAACAAACCGGGATGGAATTTAAGTCGGGGGAACCCCATTGCCCATTAATATGTTCCAATATAGTACAGAATTGTACATTCGTTTGGCAAACATGCCGTGCAACTGCGGTACTCCACTGACGGGATGACTTTCGTCGACAGCAGTCGTCGCTGAGCTGCACGCTACAACTTCGTGTGTGATGTTGCTTGCTGGTCGTAGATTGACTGAGTCTTGGTTACCGGTTAAAATGTTGCTCATTTGGCATTGGTAATTTTTACTTGGAACTGAGTAACGCCGCAACGTCGCCAGCAGAATCCTCCTAGTACTTTGATGTTGATGGTTGCGGCTACATAGTAATCACTGATTTTACTGCGGGTGGATCTTCTGAGAGCCCTTCAAGGTTCACAAAACTCGGTTTCCAGGTGGTCAACATACATTAAGTTCTCCCAATTCGTTGTATTCCATGTGATGTACACCTAATACGCCAAAAATGTTGCCTGACGATTTGAACCGGACAAAAATAGCAGACGAAAATGTGTTTACAAAATAAAAATAGTTCGGTAGCCAATGGAAATACTATGTTCATTTGCATATTGACCGTGAAAATACCGAAAACATTATTGCATGGGTGATATGCAAATTAGTTTTTGTCAAAATAAGTGACTGGCTAAATGTACCATTACTGTTATTCAAATTTCATTTCACTCGGCAAGTATATTCATGTACCCCAAGAGAAAAATATCGTACTTCTTAATATTGTTTATTTCTGCTATGTTTCGAAAAACGGTACTCCTGAAGGGACTACTTTGTTTGCTCTCAGACCTCATTTGCATATGAGGTGTGGAAATACCGATTTTGATTTCAGGGATGAATCAAAATAAACTGCAGTACATATGTAATAATTTACAGTATTTGGTACCTGTAAACATTTTGGGATACCCAGCATTTGACTAATCTGTTATGAATCAATATGACATACAAATTGCACAGTCAGCTGTACTGGCCTTTGTCTCCCTTGTAATAAAATAGATTTATATGCAAAGTTATTATTGTGTCATTTATATTGTTTTCTAATTATTTGCACCATATACATATTTCTCAAAACCGGCAATTTAACCCAACAATTTAGAAAATATTTATTATAAATTCAAAAGTAAGCATTGACAGAAAGTTGGTTCATGTGGTCACTGCAAGTATCACAGTAGTGTTAAGCCCTCTATAGTTCACATGTTTTATTCTTTTGTTTACAGTACCAGTGACCCCGTGATGGAAGATGACCCTGTGCAGACGATGACATTATCTAATGATAATCTGGAGTACATAAATATGTTTTGGTGTGGTATCTCTCATCTGGATTTGAAGGGATGTAAAAAACTTAATGCTCTCAATGGTAAATTCTACTTTATTTTGTTTTTGCTAAAAGTACTTTTCTTGTCTTTTGAGTTTGGCTGCCTGAGTTTATTTGGTAGGTGCTAGGTTGCACAGGGTCGAGTTTTCTAAATTTAGTTAGGCTCCCGGGGTTCGGTTGGGCTGTGCGAGGTTACACAGAGTTGAGCTGTCTAGGTTTGTTTAGACTGGGTTGCCCGAGTTTAATTGGTCTGTGCTACGTTGTTTGGGTTGTGCTTAGTTTGGCTGCCTGGGATTGGTTGGATTGTGCTAAGTTGTATAGAGTTGGGCTGCTTAGGCTTATGGGTTTGGTTAGGTTGCACAAGGTTAATTGGGCTGCCTGGGTTGAGTTAGATTGTGCCAGGTTACACAGGGTTGGGCTGCCTAGGTTTAGTTAGATTGTGCTAGGTTACACAGGGTTGGGCTGCCTAGGTTTAGTTAGATTGTGCTAGGTTACACAGGGTTGGGCTGCCTAGGTTTAGTTAGATTGTGCTAGGTTACACAGGGTTGGGCTGCCTAGGTTTAGTTAGATTGTGCTAGGTTACACAGGGTTGGGCTGCCTAGGTTTAGTTAGATTGTGCCAGGTTACACAGGGTCGGGCTGCCTAGGTTTAGTTAGATTGTGCTAGGTTACACAGGGTTGGGCTGCCTAGGTTTAGTTAGATTGTGCTAGGTTACACAGGGTTGGGCTGCCTAGGTTTAGTTAGATTGTGCTAGGTAACACAGGATTGGGCTGCCTAGGTTTAGTTAGATTGTGCTAGGTAACACAGGATTGGGCTGCCTAGGTTTAGTTAGATTGTGCTCGGTTACACAGGATTGGGCTGCCTAGGTTTAGTTAGATTGTGCTAGGTTACACAGGGTTGGGCTGCCTAGGTTTAGTTAGATTGTGCTAGGTTACACAGGGTTGGGCTGCCTTGATTGGGTTGGTGGCACAGGCTTGGTTTAGTGGACTGTGACCTGAAAAACGAAATATCATGGTCTATTTTTCAAATAAAGATAACATTCAAATGCATCTGTAACACTTTCAAACAAGTTTTAATGTTGTTTTACAGAGTTGTAAATTCAATTGTTTTCAGTGACAGATGTATAATAATGCATCACATTTGTGAGTGATCTTGGCAGTGAGCTCAACTCATGACACCATGGTATTTACATACACTTTAACTGTGCAAGCAATGGAACAGCTGGATAAATCTGGATACAGAGTTATAAACTAAACTGTAGATTTCACTCTCCAGTTTCCTATGTCTTATAATCACATGTGTTCTCTTGATTACAGCTACTGCATGTAGGATATTGAAATCTGTGAAGCTGGATGGTTTGCTAGACTTGAGAGCTGTCAAGTTCACTCAGTGTTATAAGTTACGGAATGACGAAATATTACGAGAAGTTTTGAAAATTCCTGCAAAGTATAATAAATTTGTCCATCTTCGACCAATGTATCAGGTAAGAATTTAACACTTTACCGCTTATACTCTTGTTATGAAATATTGTGGAGCACAATGTATCCTGTATATGTCTGTCTGTCTGTCTGTCTGTCTGTCTCTGTTTTCTGTGTTTTGAAATGATGAGAATGGATTTTACGTGTTATTAATCTGCTTTTTATTTTACTTTTAGTTCAACATCACATCTTTGGAGCGTATGTTATTTTCTAATTTAATCCCCCATAATTACCATGTGATGTTAGCATTGGACTACACCAACCCGCCACGTGCAGAGAATGCCACGTTCATGAGGAACTGGTCGCAAGCTTTGAATGACTTAACTTTGTAAGTGTGTTACTATTATTCAGGCATATACAGTACAGTTGCAACATGGGGCACTGTCACCACACATGGGGCACTGTTTTACCACATGGGGCATATATGAAAGAAGAGTGGCTATAATACCACATGGAATGTTCCTACTCTGTCTGATTTTATTTATTTACTGATTAAAACATTTTGTTTTCTTCATTTCAGTGATATGATTGACACATTTGAAATGCCGAGTGCCAGCGATATGGAGAGACCTACTAAATATCCCTGGGGTAGAAACATACGTAGGCATACATGTATGTTTACCTTATATATTGACTCTAGAAAAGATATAAGCTTTATACCTAGTTCCTAGATAAAATGCATGTATACATTGTATCAATCAAAAAGTGCAACATTTTCATGAATTTAATTCAACAACCACCGCCCTTTAATGCAACAACCACTGCCCTTTAATGCAACAACCACCACCCTTTAATGCAACAACCACCACCCTTTAATGCAACAACCACCACTCTTTAATGCAACAACCACCACCCTTTTATGCAACCACCACCACCCTTTAATGCAACAACCACCACCCTTTAATGCAACAACCAACACCCTTTAATGCAACAACCACCACCCTTTAATGCAACAACCACCACCCTTTAATGCAACAACCACCACCCTTTAATGCAACAACAACCACCACCCTTTAATGCAACAACCACCACCCTTTAATGCAACAACCACCACCCTTTAATGCAACAACCACCACCCTTTAATGCAACAACCACCACCCTTTAATGCAACAACCAACACCCTTTAATGCAACAACCACCATCCTTTAATGCAACAACCAACACCCTTTAATGCAACAACCAACACCCTTTAATGCAACAACCAACACCCTTTAATGACAGTCTTATCATTGACATTGCAAATTGTGAACACTTATTATTTTTTGAATGACTGATAATCACAATTTGAGAATTTATCAACCAATCAAATTCAGAAACATTGATGCACTGAAGCTAGCTTGCACTAAACAATGTGGTGTATCAAACATAATTTTCATTGTCAAGGTCAATTGCATGTATTTTAGAAGGGTCTCCATAATTTAATTTCAGGATTCTTTTGGGTAGGATTTCATCTTTTATGATTCATACAAAATGAGATTTTCTACATCTCATAATAAGTGGCAATGAAGCTTTAATTCCAAAAGAATTGTTTTGACATATTTATCAGTATATTTCATTTATTTCAGTAAATTTTGAGAAGACTGGTTGCCAGATGGACATAATCTCTGATGTCCCTTGGTTACATGAAGTACTGAATGTAAAAGATATGCCATTCTTGGATCCATTTTGTGAAGGTAAATTGCATGACCATTCAATTTTTGCAATTTCTTGTCTCCATCTTTGCGTTGATTCCTTGGATCGTGACATTTTTTGTAAGATTTGAGATTGGCTTAGTCTCGCTGAAATCTAATTTCTGAGACAGTGCTTTTTGAAATCTGATTATATTTCAGTAACAATATTGTCTGATTTTAGTGTAAAATACTTTATTTTGGCTTGAAAATTTATTTCCGCTGAAGGGATAATTCAGTGAAAATAAAATCTAGCGAATTTAACTTTTTTTCTATATTTCACATTCAACTCATCAAAAATCAGTGAAAATAAATTCCATACAAAACGCTCAAAAAACCTTTTCACCGAAGATTAATTCTAGCAAAAATATTAGTATTTTACAGTAGTTTCATAAAAAAAATTTCTCGAATTTGCTTTGTGAGTTTTAAATATACCTTTCACCACATTATATTTTACAGAAGCGGTGCGTTACATGAACAACATGGCATACAACATAGATCGTAATCTGGATGTTATGTATGCACACATACTGGAAATGATGGAGTGTAAATTTACACATTTTAAGAACTCAGTGGTGGTCTATATACAGATGTGTGATATTGACGGCATCCCAGCTGATGACCCATATGCATAATTGTCGGCAGCTGTTGGTCCTTATGAACATTTCGAACTGTTACGACTCTAATCAAGACAGTGGCAGAAATTACTTTTTTGTGGGTCTTAAAAACAGCAATGTTCATACCTCATAGTAATTTGAAACCGATGTCAGGTGATGGTGCTTTTTATTTGAAAGTTAAAAGCATTCCTGAGAAAGCTATGGAATCTTATCTGTGGTTTTAAATTAGAAAGCTAGGTATCCCTCTTTTTTTAAAGGAAACTAGGTAGTCATTTATTCTTCTGAAATAACAGTATTTTTTTAGTTCATCGTTTGAATTAAATCTTTCCACGGCTGCATTAGACCTATGAAACAAGATATCTAGAAATTTGTTCACGAATGTGATCAGTGTAGCCTATTCAGTCTTCAATTGTGGGATCTCTTGACAGCCTGTAAAAGTGGTGCTAGGTTTGGTTTCACACTGTCTGCAACCATTATAGCGAGACATAATCACTCTGTAGCGTACTCTTCTGACAATTGATAAAAATAATGATGAACAAATTATGAAAATATTCTCACAAAAATTCTTCTCCTACCTGAAACTACAGTGAATAAAAATGTGCCTGAAAGTTTCAAAGAAAAAATTTAAAAGTATAGCAAAATCAAATTATATGGTGTATGGCCGCCAGCCACCATTTTTGTTTTGCTATTTCCTCCCATAATGATGTGGATTTTGATTATGTTTGTAAATGTTGCTTTGTTTTAGTTATAATAGATGTTTTCTCAAAAATGAGCAAGCTGGCTGGCTGGCTCTATGCATGGAGGAGACTTAGTATTACAGGCTCTTGATGTCTACCACTAAGATGTGTATTGATTACTCAAAGATTTACCATTAGATTGCCAGGCCATTGAAATCTGTGTAGGGTTTATCTGTAGTTTAAATTGTACAGAATTGTTATTTTGATAAATTGTGGCAGTATTTTTTTTCGATTTTCCTTCCTGATCAGATTGCTTGAAAATGCTGTAGATCTGATTTAACTAAAAGCCTTCCATATCAGATCAGAAGACATAGGGTGTGTCATAAAATATCTATGTGTATACAGAATGGTTTCTTTTACAATAATATCATATCATTTATTCTTGCTCTTGTTAAATTCTAATATTCAAGATTTGTATCATATTCTTTTAAGTTGTGTCACAACTGTGTATTTTTTTTTAACATTTAGGAAAGTTTTGTCAGTCATGTTCTGATAGAGGGCGCTATATTTGATATTTTATCATTTAAGGGACGACGTCAAAAGATCGATGTCGGATAAAAAAACTTATTTCCTTTAGTTTGGGGGTGGGGGGTTTTGACCTCAAAAAGTTTCCATCCTATAAAAACGATTATATTTTTTAATGAAGTCAAAACAATCTTGGAGTATTTGTAGTTCGTTTTTTTCTATCCAATCATGGACAGAAATAACCGAAAAGGGAAAAAAACCCAGAAAAATGGTTTGGTTCGAGTGTAAATCTGTGCTCAAATGAGGTGCATTTGTAAAATCTTTTTACACCCACCCGACAACCAACTGCTCTGCCATACTACTGTCAGATTATCAATTTGTATTTAATGGTGAATGTAGTCTGACGCCATGACCAATATTTATCAATTAAGTTTCAGTGGGGGGTCGGGGGGTGGAAAACAACTAAAGGAATTAAGTTTTTTATCCGACATCAATCTTTTGACGTCATCCCTAACAGTGTTTGAAGTTGTAGATAATTTGCACGAAAATTTTGAAAACAAAAATTCTACTGGAAAAAAATATCTTTATAAAAAAAACACATGAAATAGAACAGCTAAAAAAAAAGACAGGTCAGTTCAGAGGTCAAGTCAGCTGGGCAATGAGTGAGAAAAAGATTGTAAAAAGTATTGCTTTATACTGATAGAAAACTATTACATTTTCAATTTATAAATTGTGTGCTGTGACTTTGTTCAGGCATGCATTAACCTTTTCACCACCAGACTTACTTGCTCAAATTTGTCTGCAATGTTTTTCTTATATTCTTCAATATTTCTGGAAATGAACTGTAATTTTGGAGCCAACAGACAAAATTTGAGTCAATTTTCAGTTTTTCTCAAAAATTTGGCTATTTTTGTCCCAATCTTCTGAAGGACACTGCAGACTATGAATGTTTATGACTATTTTCTGAATTTGTGATGAAAAGATAAAACTGGTGGTGAAAAGGTTAAACTCGCACTAAATGGGATCTTCATTGCATGTCGTCATACATTACTCTTCTAAGGACTTATTACTACTTATTACAATGATTTGCAATAAAACAATCAGACCATTGAATCAATGAAGTGTGAGTCTGCCATGAATGGTCATGTGATCAGAATGTGTACATTGGTTGTTGTACATGGTATATCATATACAATCTAAAGAAGCAGAGTTAAACAGTTGAAGGAGTTGAACAGAAAGAAATCTGCACACCTGAACAGATATCCCTGCAACATCCTGGAAAAAAAGCATTTACTCAATTTCTCCATACATCCCCCCTCATCCACCCCCAGAGAGACCCATCAGTGTTGGTGATAAGGATGGCCTCTGAGCCAGGGTGGTTGATAAGGAAGACCTCATAGCAGGTGTTCTTCATAAGCAATTCCTCTGAGCCAGTGTTGTTGATAATGAAGGCCTTTTAGCCAGTGTTGGTGAGAAGAAAGGCATCTGAGCCAGTGTTGGGGGTAAGGAAAGTCTGTGAGCTTGTGTTGGTTATTAGGAAGCCTCTGAGCCAGTGTTGGTGAGAATGATGGCCTCTGAGCCAGTGCTGGTGAGAATAAAGTCCTCTGAGCCAGTGTTGGTGATAAGAAAAGCCTCTGAGCCAGTGTTGGTGATAAAAGCCTCTGAGCCAGTGTTGATGAGAATGAAGTCCTCTGAGCCAGTGTTGGTGATAAGAAAGGCATCTGAGCCAGTGTTGGTGGTAAGGAAAGTCTGTGAGCTTGTGTTGGTTATTAGGAAGGCCTCTGAGCCAGTGTTGGTGAGAATGATGGCCTCTGAGCCAGTGTTGATGAGAAGGAAGGTCTCCGAGCCAGTGCTGGTGAGAATAAAGTCCTCTGAGCCAGTGTTGGTGATAAAAGCCTCTGCGCCAGTGTTGATGAGAATGAAGT